TTGCAGTCAGAGGATGCCCTAGTAGGAAAACCTCTAAATATCTTGCCCAACAGTGGAATAGTTAATTCGACTCCAGTTTCAAAAAGAAAACAAGGACAACTCTAGATTTTAACATGTCATATCTCCTAGTTTTTACAAGTCAATACCCCTTAAAACTAATACAGGAGGGCAAGGGGAAGAAAAACAGCTCCAACTTTTCCTTCTAGAAGAAAAATGTGGAGTTTTAAGATCTTATCTAGCTTTAAAAATAATTGATAATGACTGAGGTATTTTCTGGTTAATTGGTATTTTGCTTTGAGTGAAGTGACTATCTAATGTCTCCGGCGCAACTGCCCATCAGAGGCAGCTTCCCCGAGATACAACCAGAAAGGGCAGCTAGGTTTATTGCTTTCTCTTTCCTCCTCCTCCACAGTGTGCCACGGATATGCAGTTTCTATACATAAGAGTGTGACAACATAAGAGGCAAGTATCCAGGCCAGAGTTGGCTCTTGGTTTCAGGCCTGATGTGGCACATGGTCCATAGCAGGGGCTCAGCAATGTTTGCGGAAAGTTCCCAGGAATATACCACTCTAGGTCCTCCTTTACATAAGGATTACTGAGTACAAAATTCCAATGTACATTTATATTAAATACTAGCTATCCTGAAAGACTTTAGATCACTAGCTACTCCCATCCAAGAATAATAAGTCAGATAAATATTATTCCTCTGTGTTGTGCAGTTAAGGCCTCTTCCCGGCAGCCTGCTCACATTTGTGGAGAGCACTTGGCGGCCCTATAACTCAAACCTATCTTTACCTCTCAGATACACGTTCAACTGAGCAATGATTCCTGGGCTTTCATGAAGAAAAGAGCTAAAAGAGGGCTGAGCACAACAGAAACCAGAAATGCTCTATCAGATACGTGAGCTGTGCTAGCCCTGTCGTTTCCTTCAAGCCTGTGGGAGCCACATGTGGTCATACAGCGTGACTCCACCGAGGACATGCCTCTCCAAGGCACTTGGCCAATGGACGCACCCTACCATTTGCAGCATTTTTGAAAGGCTGTCTTGACCCAGCTTTGAGGGCCTGGCTGGAGGTCAGTCAGTTTCCCCCTTCCTAAGCAGCCCATGAAGTCCAAACCCCCCAACCACTAGCCATGTCAGAATGTCACAGCCCAGGTCACCCTATACCAGCCTTGATCACTCCCTTTACTCTCTGCCCAACTGTAGTTATTCAAACTATCCAATTCTACTACGCCTACTCGCCCTGCCTCATCTGTTCCTTCTCAGGAACCACAGTGAAGGTGCAGGCCCACGGTCCCCTCATCACCCATCTCAAGACCCACCCCTGCACCTTCCAAGTGGCCCAAGTGTTTTCCCCAAGAGCTCCAAGTAGCCGAATTGTAAAACCCTTTTCAAGTCTGTCTCTTGATCTGCACTTGGCCTCCCTGTTCCTCACCCAGTGTAATATGGTTGCAGCATGGCTCAGCACATACAATCAGTTCCAGGGTTGTTTTTGATTACACAGGCCTGGAGGCTGTCAGCAGCTAAGCACAACCTCAAAAAGAGCCTTCATGAAAAGTTCTTCAGAGTCAAAGAGGTGACTCAGCATGTGGAAGAAAATAAATGATTATCTCCTTGTATTAAAAGGAAGTCATACCAAGAAACCTGTCCATGCTCCAGAAAGTGCGTTTGCTGGCATACACTTCAACCAGATACATCAAAATGTGCTGATGGTTAGCACAATTTCTGGGTTACCCGAGTCATCCAAGACTCAGAGAACATGGAACAAGCTTGCCAAAGCACCTTGTGGGAAAGCACGTCGTCTTGCAGTGACCGGATGGCATAAGCACTCACTTGCTTTTCAGGAAATGTGACGCGAGCTCTCTGGTCTCCCATACAGGGCTACTACTGGAAGATGAGGCTCTGGTGGTGACGATGCAAACACGGGACCTCCTCAACATCAGAAATTTCTGTCTGCAGTGAGGATCTTGCCTCACTCATTTTCTAAGTGGACAGAGAAGCAGCAGATGGTTCTCACGGGGTCATGAGTGGTCATTCTCCTACTTCAACATTCAGTACACTGCATTTGGCACCTATGTGCACCAGAAAACTGCAGGTTGATAGACTGCTGTGAGCATCAGGATCAGCATGCACTCAGGTAGACAGCTGCACTGAAACTCCCTGTGTCAACACCATCTTTTGTTGCTGCGTATCATAGTCCACCCATTCCGCCATCTGGGACCTCATGCAGCCACTGAGCTTAGCCTGCTCCCTCATGACATTCTTTCAGCATTATAGAGCTGTGAAGAGGCTCTTCCTGCTGCTGACTAGGAAGGGTTCCAATTGTGTGGCAAAGACCAATAATAAGTCAAATGCAGCCTTTCTCTGCCTCTTCTATTGAGTCCAAGAAGCCCAAACTCTTTGCCCACCTCCCTTCTAACTCAGGTGGTCATGTGATCCATTTCTAATCTATGGGACATTGGGGAGAGTTCTGATAAAAGGGATTGACCACAATGATAGCACCAAGTCCCTCGCTCAGAATTGGACATAGATGTTTATACAGACGACCACTTTGTAGACAGGTACACTTACGCTCTTGATGAGGAACCGAGGAATCAAGAAACTTGTAGGTAGTTACCATGCTACTTCCATAGAGGTGCATCTGTTGGGATGACTTTTTTTTGGGGGGGGGTGTAAAGTTAAAATGATGCATACTTTAACAAAGATACTGTCAGTTTGAACCCACTATTCAGAGTGAGATGATTTTAGGTATATTTCCTGTCATATGGCTTGATTTGCGACTGTCCATCTTACAAGCAATAAAAATCAACTATGGGAAGACGTCCTCATTTCCATGGTTTCCCCTTTTCTAGGTATTGGGCCAGCCTGCATAGAAATAAGACAGTAAGAATCCAGGCCTGTCCTGACTCCACACAGGAAGACAGCTGCCTTTGGATACAACACAGGAGGGCGGTTTGTGGTTAACTGGTCTACCTGTACCACTACAGTTTCTATGTAAGTGCTTAGATTATATGAAAGATAGGGATCATAAAACTCATCAATAAGGCACCTCCCATGAGAACTTAAAACTAAGGACTTGTAAGTTCAGGAAAAGGCAGAAGGTGGCATAAGGAGCCAAGTCCCCAGCCTCACAGACTCTGCCATGAACACACAACTCAAGAGTGCAGAAGATACACTAGTGTCTGAAGATACACTCTCCTTCACCCAGCATTTATCCAAGCCCAGGAAAGCAATTAACACCAACTTGAAAAATCCATGTTAAACAAGCCCTTGGGATTTCCCTTCTAGGGCAATGATTTCCCAGGATTTGAGGGAAGACAAACTCTACTGGACTAGACAGCAATGCTGGAGCCAGCTTTCATCCAGGCTGTACTGTTCAAACTAAGTTCAAGCCTTTGAAGTCAGAATGACCCCTAAGGATTGTTCTCCTTTATTCAAATGAAACATCTTAACTCGGAGCGAAACGCAACAGTGAAATGACAGTCATGCTGCCTGCCCGACTCAGCCATGGATAGATGGTTTTTCCTCCTCACCCAAGGAAAACGTTTTGAGTTGTATTTTTTTTTTTTAACGTGAACACAAACATGCAGTTTGTGAGGTCACAGGCACAGGCTGACAGGGAGCAGAACCCACAACAGTCTTGAAGTATCCCAATGCCTGGGCACAGCCACTGCTTGGCTGCACACCCCAGGGGAAGTGACTATTAGACAAAATACTCCACTACTTTGAGGATTTCCCCCACAACTATCAGATGGAGATAATATTGATCTATAGGAAACTTCTCCTGTAGGTCTAAACTATTCACAGCAGCAAGTTCCAAGGGTGCAAGTTAATCATTCCTGCCCTATCTACCCAGTTTGTTTTTCTTAAAGAATCAAACAGTCTGATGAAGGTGGAAAAAAAAAAATCACTACCCTATAAAAGACCATCAACTCTTAGCACAATAGGAATCCATGCTTTGAATGCCACCCAGGTGCTGCCTTATACATGTGATTCTGGAGGCAGCATTTTGATTCCTCTTTACAAGTGTGGGAGACCAACCTTACATGTGACCGAGTCACACTCCCCAGCTGGGTGCCAAGGCGCTCAGTCGCAGAAATGTGGCAGAGTTTCCCCACCCTTCTTAGGTTCGAGGGTGGGTGTCTGGTGCATGGGTGTGTCTTGCTACAGCCCCATGGGTGAAGCTATGCTCACTTATTCCTTTGTAATAGAACCCCTTGCCCCGTTTAGGATAGAATCTTCCATGGAAGTGCCTTGTGTGTGTGTCCCTTTCTCTTACTGTGCCCTTGGGGGTGGCCTACCCAGGTGTCAGTCAACCTGCTGACAGTGCACATCATGAAGATAGACTCAGCCCCCTGAAATCTGACCCCTTGCCTCATTTGAATGGCTTCTCCTCAATAAAAGGGGTCAGCGCATGCTCTCGCTCTCTTCCTGTGGACCTTTAAGGTCAGATGAGCCGTCACAGCGACCCCAAAGAAAAAGGTATTTGTGTCTCTTGTGTGGTTATTTTGCACAGCCCAGTTAGCCCAGTTCAACTGGAGTAACCCCTGAGCCTTTTATTCACGAGAAAAACCTGGCAACAATTCAAGTTCCCAGGCCTACCTCCGACCTTTCCAGCTAGAAACAGGAGGATGTGATGAGGGGTGTGTGCCCTCACAAGAGTCCCAGGTAATAAATCAAGTTGGAGAAAAGATTTTCCTGCAAGAAATAAGAAGTCACCCTCTTTGGTTTGGGTGGCATTCTGCTAAAATGCAGACTCTACCAGCCCACTTACTCCGAGGTCATTTGTAGGTTATTCATAACCTGGAGGCGGCTTCATGGGCAAGTGAGTAAAATAAACTCCATCACTAGTTACTAGGAGCTGCTACAAGCCTATGAAGATGTCATCTTTTGCCAAAAGGAATCTTTACCACCACACTCCCGAGTCTGAGTCTTTTAAAAAGCTCTCAGTGTAAGTTCCTGGGGAAGAACGCTGGCCTCCCATGCAGTGGGGACTTACCCCTCAGGATGTAGTTCTGATAGTTCTGATCGGCCTCCGCTCCCACCTTGATCAAACACGTCAGGCCTTCAGCCACGACAAATTCATGCACCAAATCCTTGTCATCCTGGTAGGAAAGAAAATTTTTTTAAACTTCAAATATAGTCCCCCACCCATCTTTCATCCAGGCTGCACTGTTCAAACTAAGAACAAGCCTTTGAAGCCAGAATGACCCCTAAGGATTGTTCTGCTCTATTCAAATGAAGCATCTTAACTCTTGCCAAGGAATTTTACAGCCTTCACATTGTCACTTGCCAAAGATCAGTTATTGCCTTCTGGGCAATCTAATAAGAACAAATGAATTCCTTCCCTATCCGAAATAGTGGTAGGACTGTTTTTCATTCTTCAAAAATTACCAGGATTTACGCCCCCCTACCCCACAGGTCACAGAAATTGGCCACATGAAGGTTGGCTGGATTTTTACTATAGGAAACATTCTATTATAGCATAGACCATCAAGTAAAGGACTCAAAGCCACTTCTGTGTTATGACATAGTCACAGGACAGTAGTTACAATGAGACTTGCAAATGCTCTCTGGGAACCCATTTCTTCAGCCTTCTGCATTGTGCTGCTAGCAGGCCAAGGAAGGAAGCTGAGCTCGGGACTAGCCACACCACCCCTCAAAGAGCCAGGGTGGTCTGGGTCAGTGGAAGGCAGGACATGGAAAGAACAGAGGTGACCTAATTCAGTGGTTCCCAAAGGACACTCTTCAGACCTACAGACCCACAGAGAAGGCAGCAAGACTCACCTAGGAACTCGTTAGAAATGCAAATGTCTTGGCCCCACCCAAACCCAGCCTGCTGTGTTTAAGGAGCCCTCTAGGTGACTTGGAGGCTCTTATGGGTCTCATCCCTGACTCCTTCACATTAGGATCATCTAGGGAGCTTTAAAGGGATTAGCAAGTAGGACCTTATGCAGATGGATTTGATCCGAATTTCCGGGGTAGGACCCAGGCTCTACTATTAGATTGCCTGGGAAATCCTACAGGGCCACCCATTCGAGAATCACTATTCTAATACTACATTCTCTTCACGGATAAGATAGTTTAAGACTCAAGAGCGGCAAAAAGTGCTTGACCAAGACCATTTAATCACGTTTGGCCAACCCCCAAACCCTGACAGTTCTTAGTACCAACCAAGATCAGTGGAACCCTATGAGACTGGTTTTTCCATCACTGCTTTCTCCATTGAAACTGGGAGCTCCTCAATTGAACAGTGTGCCTCGTCTCAAATACATCTAGGATAAGGCTGGGACATCCATTATTTGATTTAATAGGGCAAAAATGAGAAACCTCAGTGATGTAAAGAGTAGAACACTTAATGGAATAATGAAACGGTTGTTCTAGGAATAGTCAGCAACCACAGTTTCTCTCTAACAGAAAAAAATAATTTAGATGAACTGGCGTAATTCTCCTGTCCCTACGTCAAAGTAGCCCTTTTCTTCGATTTCTATGCTTTTTTCCAATCGGATGGATGGGGGTCTTGAGCTAAGTGTGGGCAGATACAGCAAAGGGACCTTGGGAACCATGACAGCACTCTAGGGTCGGAGCTGGCTCTAGGGGGGAGGGTGGGTGAGCAATGCTTGCGCCCTGAAAGTAATGAAACACAGCTGTGTTAACTCAGACTTTGAGATAATCATGGCTGTGGAAGAAAGAAAATGGGACAATGTCATGAGTTTTTGGAAAATTACTTTACACTCATATGTAGAAGGGAAATAAAAAATAATTCTCCATCCATATCCTTTTCCACCAGCATATGTGAAAAGTGGACATTTAGATGAGCTCATGTCTAGTCAGAAGGTTTTTTCCAAGCATGTTACAAATGTTTATTACTTTAACTAGAACTAGATTCACACATGACTTCACGGTGAAAAAGTGAGAACAAGCTCTCAAGAAACGGCTCAAGCTAATCACTAGTAGTAATATAGCAGGGGACGGACTGGCAAAGGCTCTTGGAAAAAACACTGGACAGGCGAGACAGTGTTTATAGAAGTAATTCAGAACTTGAAAGTGTATGCACACATGTAGATAAGGCACTTAGGAGAGACAAGTTGATGGATAATACATGTACAGAAAATCTTCCAAATTGGCAGTGTGCTAAGTCTTGAACACATATCCAAACAGGCATAAATATGACTTTTTAAACACTGGTGTCAGACTAAAATGGGATGTATGTTAGCACTAACCAGTGATTAATGGCTGCAGTTCAGAATCTTCTATAACTGCATTAACTTGTGGTCATTTGAGGAATACTCAATTCAGGATGATCAATGGTCGTGATTGTTTAAGCTCAAAAATTCTAGTTTCAAAAACAATCTCCACACATAGCAAACAGGAGAGAGATGGACCTAAGGGTAGAGAAGGTGGCAATCTCAGCCCCAGACAGCTTGCTGCCTGTGTAATCCAGTTAATCCCCAGTGACCTGCTTTGTGGCCAAGAGCTGTTTGTGCACACCTGTGTGGCCTTCAAGCCCACTCCCAACTCCTGGTAACAGCACCTTCTTCCTGAACTCTACACTGCCAACCAGGCCGCACAGAAATATGTTTAATAGTGGAAATAGCAGCTCTGAGAATTCGAGCAACATATTCTCTGTACTAAGATTGGTTGAAAAAAAAAAGTGGTTAGGCTTATTAACTCTTCATTTTAAATAACTTATACACAACCGTGAGTGCCTATCAATTTATGCCAACTCTTTCACCCATCACCCCCAGTCTCTCCCAGTCTAAATCAAGTCCAGATATCACATATCAGAAAACTGTAGATTAAATGTATATCCAAACTCTAGGAACTCTTAATATATAGTCACATTAACAATACTTTAATCCAGTCATTAACCAAATTTCCAGCTCTTTTATAAATACTGTTTGACAGTTTGTACTAGAATCCAGATAAGATCCACATATCATTAGTTGATATAACTGCAATAGCTTTGACATTCATGGTTATTTTTTTCCCCCTTGAAGTTTAATCATTGGAGAGATCCATCTAGATTTTATTGATTACACCATTGTGGTACAAATTTAGCATACATCTGTCCCGATTCATGTGTAAGTTGGTTACTACAGAAGCATGATCACATCCAGGGTTGGATCTTGGCTTGACCACAGGGCACTTTTTCCTCTTAGGAGGTACATAATATCTGATTGTATCCCATTTCTATCATGACAGCAATCCTGATGCTTGATACATAGATCCATTGATTCATTAGGGGCTTAATTTTATCTGTAGTACTGTAGTCCTTACTAGCTGGGATACTGCTACAAATGAGACTTCCTCCACACTACTGATTATCCTCAAGTTCACACATGAAAAGGCAAGATAAAATTGAGATTCTAAATCTTCACCTATTTTCAAAATAGTGAGCCAGTTCATTAACATTTTCTCATAAGTACATCTTTTGCATACTCATTTTGACAATTTGTTGTTATTTTTAGCGTACTTATAACTTCATTAATTCAAACCTATTTAATGTGTTTGGGCCCACTGCCTATTGCTCCATCTCTAGTCAGCAGGAGACCCTGTAACTTGCTTCCCAGTGCCTCTAGAAATAATCCTAGTATCATCTGATAGCTTCCGCTCTCTGTACAGTAAGAGGTTCCAAGTTTATAACATTTCCTACAGACACCAAGAATGAGCCACTTCTCCAAGCAGCTCTCATTCCTTCCTTGCAATTTTAGCCTGCAATCTCATTGCTAGCAATGCTTTTTATGATTATGCTTTCAGTTCTTTTAGATAAACAGATGCTTCTAGATAATCTAGAGTATGGATTCATTCTGACACTTCCAATTCAGTTTTAACTGAAGAATCATAATTTTTTTTTTTTTTAACTCTGAAGCTTCACACACCCTCACAATGATACCTACACCATTACCAATTATTATAATCAGTCCATGGGGCATGGGGTGTCTTCACTAAAAGGTACAGAAACTACATGTTTAAATCCCTTTGATAGGTAGCTTCTGTGATTCTACCAACAACTCGATACTCAGGGGAAAAGTTGAAGCTGAGCAATGGAGACAGAGGCAGGCTGGCAAGATGGAGTGAAGAGTAGTGTGTGGTCCTATGGTGACACAGTAAGTCTGGCCCAACTGCAGACTCTAGAAGGGAGAGAGGGAGGGATAAGATGGAACCCAAGATGGAGACTTCCACACGTGCAAGAGGCTATGTTCACAACACTATAGTAAGGATAACACTGGAAACTAACCATCTGCCAAAAGATCAACCACCCACCCACCTTGTGCTCTTGACCAGTGCTGCATCATCCATCATGCCTGTACCCATAAGTAAACTGGGGCAGGAAGCAGGCAGCACAGCATGGACATCAAGTGAACACAAGGTTACCACATTGAATATTTACCAAGAAAAAGGAAACATACCATAAATACCATCCAACAGAGAGGGGATCTTGGCAGGAGTTGGGGGGAGGCTGGTATTAGGCAACAGATTTTCAATTATATCCATATAGATTTTTTTTGATGAAGTAAATATGGCAAAATTATGATTCAATAATTTTTATCTTTACTTTTTATATTTGAAATGTTTGATTTTATAAAATATTCTTCACTGATATTCTGATCTGATTTGTCAGTGTGATCTAAAGAGCCCTTTCTTTTGGTAATGCAGAGTAACTTTGATCTAATCCCAAAGCAAAGCAAAACGGGACCTGAAGTACCTTTTTCTTTTTACCTGAAATATCTGCTTCAGGGAGAAAAGGGCCCTTCTTAAATCTCGTCCAGAGGAGTTGTACAGTTTTTCTGAAATAAAGAAGAATGTAAATTAATTTATGTAACTCAACAGATGGCATAAATACAAAGGGGATATGAAGGTTAACAATTTCTACTCAAAAGGGAACAGGGAACGAACACATCCATTCCATATATACATATAGCCCTCACTCCAGAAAGAATGAGTCACACACTCTGCTCTGTTAATAACAGCAGAGAGGAGACAGGCGAGTTGTGTAACAAGATACACCCAGATTTGCACTCTTGGCCCCCAGCTTCCTTCTCTAAAATCGTATCTAACACTTTGTCATAGGCTCTTTTCCAGTTTTACAGCTACTTCCACTTGATAGCCACATACACCCAGAAAATATCTGTAGCCAAAACAATGCATCCTTCTACCTCACTCCCTCCTGGCCTTAGAGCCCCTGTATCCTGTACTTTCCTCATTTATGCTTAGAAAGCCTCAAAGGCCCTCCCCCACTTCCCCATGCAGTACAGAAGACCCAAAGGCTATGAGATGGCTGTATAGACTAACTCGCTCCCTGTAGTCTTGCAATGATCCTCTAGAAGCCAACCTTACCTTCTCCCCAGGCATGAGCACTGACTCATGCTTAAGGATGGTCCCGGCCCACAGCAAGGTAGAAGGATGAGTCTGGCCTTCAAATTCCCTAGCTCAAGACTTGGGCTGACTTGTATAACCCAGAGACACAAGTATGCCACAATGACTAGGTGGCCAGTGGGTAATGCTACAAGGTGTTAAGGATACACAGGAGGGAGAGTTCAGTACTGGTGACTGCAGGACGTTTGGGAACATTGACTCTGCTTGACTTTGCAGGAGCCACACTTGGTCCTGCTAGTGCCATTTCATTTATACAAAGATGCCATCTGCGAAAGTACTCCAAACCTATAACTTTCTTATGCAAGTCTTTAACAAATGTCATGCTTTTGTTAAACATGTTATCCCTTCATCACATGAGAGCAATACTGGAATCATCTTCAATATGGTTTAAATAAAAATAACCAAATATTCACTAAAACGAGTATTACTCTAGAGCACTGATCTTTGAAAAGACAAGACAATCCCTCTCTACAAAGGGCCAACACCATGGTAGAAAATGAAATCGCGGTGCTTAATTCTAACTCAAAAATTGCCATCTATTTTTTTTTTTTTAATCAGTGGCACCAAAAAAAAAAAAGCCTAGATGCCAACTTGTTCTGCTTATTTAACATACATTTCAGGAGACTCCAGTTTACCTAGAATCTTAGCAAGAACTAGGGACCAAGGATGTTCATAAATGACATGTAATTTGTCCTTTACAGAAGGTACAATTCCTGCTGGCAGGGGAGGATCCAGCAAGCATTTCCCCCATATCAGACATCCTGCCCACACACAAGTGACTGCTGAGCACCCTTTGATGTGGCTCAGAAAGACCTACAGGCCTAAGGAGAAGCACTCCTTCTCATAGCTGATGTCCTGGCTTTCTTGCAGACTGACATCACCATGGGAAGCACAGGCTGGAGCTTTCACTGAGTGACACTGAGCTCAAGTCCCCAGGCATTCTATGGTTACCACGGCTGGTACAGGCCTCCCCCCACTTCAATTAAGTCTAGGAGGTGAAGGGCTCATGGACATCACTGTTGGGCCCATTTCCTATTGAACTCCAATCACTCCTTTAGAAGCAGCCCGTTTATGTGGATTCAGGCACGAGTCCCAATCCTGGGTTACATGGGTGTAAGTCCTCCTTGACACAGGAGGATCACTAACCTTGGCACTCCCTAGTTTTGCAATATAGTGCCATCCTCTATGGGCTGTGCTCTCATGTGTCTGTAGGTCGGTGAGTGCAAGATTCATATGCATGTGGCTTAGTGGAACTGAGCTTGCAAAGTTCTCCCCAACCCCTACTATACCTGATTCACTGTGTAGATTGTTCTAACAGCCTGAGTGCCAAGGGAAGGAATTCCAAGTGTCTACTGCCCCCCCCAAAAAAAAAAAAAAATCAGGCAGTGCAAAATAAAAGACCACACACCATAGACCAAGAGGGGCCTGGAGCCCACCTAAGCCATCAAGAGGCCAGCAACGCAATGCAGCTTCACCTCCAGCTTCTGACCTCAGAGGTTCTCCTTTCTCCTCCTCAGCCATAAATACACGCCAACAAGGCCGGTGCAGCCTCTATCAGGGGAGAATGTGGGACAGCTTTGGTTCCTGTCACTGACTCAGCAGGAGAGCTCAAAGTCAGCGCATAAGGGGAAAAAGGTACACGAGCAAGCAAGATAGAGCTGGCTCCCTTCCTGGTCACTGTGAAGAAAGTATAATATTAAAACTCAAAGCAGAAATGCAGGGCTGGGGTTGGGCTGGAGTGTAAAGGGTAGCTTTTCTCCTGATATTTCTAGAGTGCTTGGAGGAGTGGCCAGCAACTCATGAGACTCAAGCCTGCAGAGTGCAAAGGAAGAGGTGGTATGGATTCCAGCAGCTGAGGAGATCCAGAGGGAGCTAATTTTACATCCCTATTGTTGGTTAAGCACAGTCCAGGCTTGGCCCCTAAGTGAAGAAAGGAAAATATATATTCTTTTACCCCTTTCAAACTAACCCTGCCCAGGTTGCAATCATTTGCAGAACATTAGCTTTTATGTAAAGAGCAATTAGTGGCCTACATTTGGTAGCAAGCTCTAGTCTGAACCTCCAAGTCTTTGAAACTATGCCCTCATCCTTCCTCTCCATGTTTCTTGCCTTTTAAAGTGAGCACTGTTCCTTTAATAGATGCAATTAGTTTATTATACTCTAAGCTGGTTTATAAAAAGTAGAGGGTAAGAAATTAAAGGCCAATGGAGACGATGCCTGCTTTGTCATTGGGAAACTCCCTGTGCGGCCCACAAACATCAGTGCTGAAAAGCACAGCCAAAGGTGTCCTGTGCCCCCTGCTCAGCCAAGAGCACAATGAAGAACATTGATAAAAAACCAGGGTGGGGGGGGATTAGAACCAGTTTAAATCAGTAGAGCATGTGGAGGTGAAGAACCAAGATCACCTTTGAGAAGGTATGTGGTAGAGTGAAAGATGCATCTAGAATATCAAGCCTCCAGGCCTGTCGAAACGATAATTATGATACACTCTTCTATCAACCAAGTATCAAACACATTAGCCAAGCACTCCAAGGGAAAACCTGGGCCAAGACCTAGGATTGTCTCCTCTGCTCAGGGCAGAAGATGACTTTCCTTTTTCCTTGGGAAGCTACAAAATCCACCACACTGAAAGGAGATCCATTCAAAGGCAAGATGCCCAAGCCTGCATTTGAAACTATCAGCTATGGAATGCACAACTGTTGATTTTTCCAGGGGCAGCCATAAGAAGTGAGCTCCTTGTCTACCAGGAATTGAACTGCGATGTACTCTTAGACACCAGGCAGAGAGATGGGAAAAATTAACTTCATAAGATGAGACTAAAGACTGTCTGAAGATAAACAGTGGCCAGGGTTGGGTGATGTTCCCAGACAGGAAGCACTTAGCCTAAATTCTTATTGGCACTGAATGAGTCAAGGATTCCACTCTGGATATTCTTCTCGTGAATTCAAACCTTTCAGGTGATCCATGAATCACCAGGAAGTACTCTCCATTTCAACCTGCAACTGTTGCCTCATTATTATATGGTAATATTTTAATTATGTTTTTCAATTTTGAGACAGGGTCTCAAAACAGGCTACCCTCAAACTTACAATCCTCCTGCATCAGTCTCCCAAGTAGCTGAGATTGCAAGGATGCACCACCATGCACAGCTACAGGCTGATATTTTAAAGAAAAAGGCATCGTGAAAACTAGTTTAATTAGAATGGCTAGGTCTAACTTTGGAAGTCATCTTTTTCCAGTGATTTTTAGGTTTCTTGGAACACAGATTTAATGAGTATTCAAAAATGTATTCAGACATTAAAAAAATCGTTTCAAAAGGCACAGGTACATGGAAACTTCTAGTGGGCTTTTAGAAGATTTTATGGACTACCAGGGAAGAATTCTTGATCTGACCAAACATCTCCATTTTACAGATGAAGAAACTAAGAGGTGACATAGTTGCTTGCAGGGCCCAGACCCGAGATTGGAGGTTCACGGAAATGGGAAAGACTGAAAATGGAAAATGGCCAATAGAAATGCAGTTGACCATAGGTTCTGTTTGATAAAAAAAAAAAAAGGTAAACACCCAAGCCAATGAAACCTGCTAAAATCCTAACCATAGCACTTATGATGCCATGTAAATTCGGAGAACACACAGAGGAAACCAAATGCCTTTGAGAAGTCTGGCTCCTCCTACCCACCTGTGGGAATGGTAGAGGACACATGTACAGCATCCTCCCATCAGCTGAGTGGCAGCATAGCAGCCTGATGAAGGAGGCTAAATAGGAGTGATGGCAGGATCATGTGACCCAATAAGACAAAAGGATGCTTAAGAAAACGTTTTTTTAATTGAATGGAGCTGGAGAATAGCATGCTAAGTGAAATAAGCCAAACCCCGAAATTCAAAGGCCAAATATTTTCTGGTAAGTGGATACTGATCCATAATGGGGGTTGGGGAGGGAGCTGGTAGGGAAGGATAAACGAACTTTGGATTATGCAGAGGGGAGTGAGGGAAGAGGGTGAGGGAATGGAAGGGATGGTGGAATGAGAAGTTATGCTCCCTTTGTATACAGTGTGTCAAAATGCATTCTATTGTCACATAATTAGAACAGATTAAACATTTTTAGAAGCCTTATTTAAATCCGAATTCCCTTGGATTTCTGTCCTTCTTAAGTTTTGAGTAACAGTCATTATGATGTTTTATTGTTTTGATGACCTCAGCAGATACCATGCTAGGCGCTAAGAACACAAATACACATGAAGAGAGTCTCAGGCAAATGATACTATGGCCTAGTGGAGGAGATAACACAAGTGTCAGGACAATGTCATGTGAGAAAGTGGCAGCAACACTCAGGGCCCTGGAGTGGCAAAACCTGTGAGTGGGATGGAGAAATGGAGATTCAGATGACATGACCCTGAGCAAGATCAGCTA